ATATTTTTTTATAAAAATAATTTTTTAGAATAAAAAATATTTAAGTTATTTTTTTCTTATTTTAAGGAATATATATTTTTATTTTGTTAGATTTAATATTTATTCGTTTAAATTTTTTGAATAAAATTTTTTTGAATATATTTTTTATATTTTAATATTTTTTTAAATTTTTATTTTTTATTTAATTTCTTTGATTAATTTTTTTCATTTAAATTTTTAATAGATTTTTGAAAATATTTTTTTATAAAAATAATTTTTAGAATAAAAAATATTTAAGTTATTTTTTTCTTATTTTAAGAAATATATATTTTTATTTTGTTAGATTTAATATTTATTCGTTTAAATTTTTTGAATAAAATTTTTTTGAATATATTTTTTATATTTTAATATTTTTTTAAATTTTTATTTTTTATTTAATTTCTTTGATTAATTTTTTTCATTTAAATTTTTAATAGATTTTTGAAAATATTTCTTTATAAAAATAATTTTTTAGAATAAAAAATATTTAAGTTATTTCTTTCTTATTTTAAGAAATATATATTTTTATTTTGTTAGATTTAATATTTATTCGTTTAAATTTTTTGAATAAAATTTTTTGATATATTTTAAGATTTCATCAAATTCAGAGGCACAGAATGAAAATTCATCACATCACGCAGCCCAAGAGAAGGAGGCGCTCGGGAAAGACTGGTTGGAGTGATCAAAACAGCTCTCAAAAGATTAAAAAATAGCACTCACTCAAAAGATTAACTAAAAAACATCTGAGCTCAACTGAATTAACAACACTTTTCTGCTAGATTGAAGCAAGTGTCAATTCACGGCCGCTTACATTTATGTCTGACAAAGAACCCTTACACGCTTTTTGATCAATCCTTCATTTGTCCTTACTCTCAAGTAGAAGATAAGGTAATAGGGGATCAGAATACTATATAAGAGGGGTAGGGAATTTATGATATATGGCTATTCTGATATGGAAATGGGGGATCAGAATATTATCTAAGAGAGGTAGGGAATTTATGATATATGGCTATTCTGATATGGAAATAGGGGATCAGAATATTATCTAAGAGAGGTAGGGAATTTATGATATATGGCTATTCTGATATGGAAATAGGGGATCAGAATATTATCTAAGAGGGGTAGGGAATTTATGATATATGGCTATTCTGATATGGAAATAGGGGATCAGAATATTATCTAAGAGGGGTAGGGAATTTATGATATATGGCTATTCTGATATGGAAATAGGGGATCAGAATATTATCTAAGAGGGGTAGGGAATTTATGATATATGGCTATTCCGATATGGAAATAGGGGATCAGAATATTATCTAAGAGGGGTAGGGAATTTATGATATATGGCTATTCTGATATGGAAATAGGGGATCAGAATATTATCTAAGAGGGGTAGGGAATTATATATCTCTATTCATAATTATGAAACGTTTGGTTGTTAATTTTTTGTGATTAAAAAAGTAAATTTATTTTACTATCATACGTTAAAATAGAAAAATATAATACTCCACTTGTTTGATTTTCTATCTTTCTTCTTTCAAAGTTCTCCTTTAAGATTGGGTTGATCAATTAAATGGTACATGAAGCTAAAAATAAATATTTTTGATTTAAACTATTTTTTAATTCTTTATATATTAGTCAAAATCATATTCCCTATCTTATCTACGAGTCCAGGACATCCAAAGTATCTCCCAGAGTATCGCACTCAAAGTATCGAAAGCCATATGCCGTATTTCCTAAAATAGTACGGCCGGCCGTACTATTTTTCAACCCTCTTCCAAAGGGCCGTACTATTTCAGGGGGCCGTACTAATTTAGGGGGCCGCACTATATTTCAACCCTTTTTCAGAATTATCTGAATCTTTTTTTGTGTAACCGGGCACTTTTCTATCGGGCACTTTTAACCGGGCACTTTTCTATAACCGGGCACTTTTCTATCGTTTATAACTTTTTTTGTTCATATCATTTTTAGATAATTCCAAGTTTATTTTGTAGCCCATTTATTTCTCTATCATATAGTAAAATTAAGGATTTTTTGATTAAGGATTAAAAAAGTTATGTAATTTTAGGTACCTTATCACAATTCCCCCCCCCCCCCCCCCCCAAAATTTTATTTTCTGTATCTCAGAAAGGAGAAGTCAAACAGGATGATCTCAACAGAATTTAATTAAGATCATTAGCGAACCGGACAAATCTGAAAGATGAAAATTCCAACTCCCATGGATGGCTCTGAGTAGATGTAAATCAGTTTTGGGGGGAATGCGATTTTCTCATTTTGGGAAGGTTACGCGCAATCGAATATCTCTTTAAGCGTTAACCTAAAAAATTTTTTGCTTTATAATTTCTATAGTTAAAAGACTGCTCTAGATGTTTAAAAAAATTTTTGTGCCGGTATCGGTATCATGTGCCGGTATCGGTATCACCGAGCCGGTATCGGTATCATTAACTCAAATCCCAATACCGATTTAGGCTAATCCCGATCCCGAGTTCTCTGAATACCGGTAGCGCTGAACCATAAAATCAGTACTTCCGCGCGAGCATTAGGTTATCTTATCTTAGCCAAGGTTCGGGTCATCTAAAAAATAGGCGCGGAGATGGAATGAATACTAGCATGTTTTGATTTGCCCTTAATTTTTTAGATAGAAGGTTGTCAATCCAACTTCCTAGTACTAAAAACTATTCGTTATTCACTTTGATTCCAACTAATCCTTTTAAATTACTTAAATCACTCCAAGTCCATCAATATCCTTCCAAATCCAACAAAATCTCCATTAATCCACCGATATCCTCTTAAGCACTCCAATTTCTATACCAATAGATATTAAGATTCAATAAATTAGTTAAATATTGCGAGGAATAATTATTATGATTAAAAAATCAAATTTTGTCTATTTTTTATATTTTTTAAATGGGGGCCGTACTATTTCAGGGGGCCATACTAATTTAGGGGGCCGTACTATTTTTCAACCCTCTTCCAAAGGGCCGTACTATTTTAGGGGGCCGTACTAATTTAGCAGGCCGTACTATTTTAGGAAATACGGTGATTAAGTTAATTTTTTGTGATTTTGTGTTAATATCGAGTTAGTGATCGACCGAAAGTATTCAGTTGATCGATTTTGTAATCAGAAGAGATTGATAAACGAGATTGATATCAGATGATCGATCAAGAATCCTTTTCTTGATTAATTGATCAAATGATCACTCTCTCTGTTCAGCTGATCAAATTGATCAAAACAAACTTCCCATTTGTTGTAACAACCTTCCTCTCGTTAGAATCGATACTTTGAATCATTCGATACCTTGGGGCGATACTCTTGAATACTTTGTGTGTCGATACTCTGGGTCAGGGTGTCCCTTTTGCCTTATTTACAGGGCATTTGCCCTATTTTCGACCTTTTCGCCCTATTTTTTCCCTATTTTTGCATTTGCCATATTTTTGCCCTATTTTTACTATCTTGAAAATTTTAAAAATTCTTTGGATTTTGTAAAAAAATGGTAAAAATGAAGGATTATCGACTTCATGGCCTTCCAAAATCCTCAAAATTTTTGCTTGCGGCACAAAAAATGGAAGAAATTTGGCTCTTGAGCTCCTAATTTCAAAAAATTTTCGCCTGCGGCGCTGAAAATTGGAAGAAATTCTTTGATTATGCTGCGAGGATTTTGGGGATTTGGTCGTGAATCGATATCAGGTTTGGATTTATTTGCTTTCTTAAGGGTAATTCAATTAACAGTATTCGGGATTAAAGGGGATATCCCGATAAAATCGATTAGTCACAAGTTGATATTTAATGACAAGGAAATTTTTAATTGAAAAGTGGCAAATTTTGATTAAAAAAATCTCTTGCGTTGCGTTTTTGCGTCGTTTTTGGCCTTGCGTTTCGTCTAACACCGTTGTATCTTGCAACTTCCCTGATCCTGATTAGTTTAATTTAGTTTAAAATAGTGAAAAATATGCATAATAAAGCTTTCATTTTAAAATTTTGAGTATTTTTAAGGGTTTAAAACAATGCCATATTTTTTGCCCTATTTTTGACCAATTTCGCCCTATTTTTGCCATATTTTTGAGTCGCTTCGCCCTATTTTGGTGTTTTGAAAAGGGACACCCTGCTCTGGGTTGATCCCTCATCTACATATTTAAGCTTTTTCATGAAAATTATTTCTTTACCATTCTCTTATTTTGTTAAAATCATGAAGGCAAAATAAATAACGAAAATAATCTGTAGGGACACCATTTGTTGTTTCACAATAAGTCATACAACCACTTTGAACGCCTAAAAATAATAAATTAAATTAAAAAACGTCTATTCATTTCTAAATACCTAATGCACTACAACACCCGCTATGGTCTGCCCGTGTAGAAGCACAATCCCACATTTGGCCAACAGTTGGACCTGTTTTATAAAAGGGGAGAAAAGTTAGAAGAAAAGTTTAAACATGAGATTTGTTTATAAAATTATCAGAATTGGCGGACAAATACATTTTATTTAAAAGTTGTTTTTGTGTTTTTGCTAATGTTGCAAACTTTAATGTTTTACATAAAAAGTAGGTACCCTTTGAAAAACATTTTGAAAACAACGAAAAACAATTTCCGAGAAATCGAAAAAAACAGCAACTAAACATGCTATACTTTACTATATGCCCACCGAGATTGAAACTCGACCGAATTTTTCACCCCAAAAATTAGCGTAGTCCCCTATGGTTTTTAAATCTTTAGAAAGAATATCTCTGCGAGTTTCCGTCTCCGGCAAAAGATTCTTACATATTTGAACTTAGCTCGGCGAGAGGAATCAGCATCAGCTATATACTTCGAATTTCGAGCTCGATGGGCATAACCCCACAAACCGACCCCACAAAACACTTGTTTGCTATTAAACCAGGGCTCTCATCGACAAAATGCCACTCAAAAGTATCAAAATCTTGATAAAAAAGTATATAGGGAGAAAATTTCCAAATTTAAAGTATAATCAAAATAAAATTATAAAATATTTATTCGTCCTCAAATCTTTCATATTTCCCTCCTAAATGAATCTTTTCTAATAATTTCTTGCTTCCACTGAGCATTTTGTGCATTTCGATGCATGACATGTCAAAATTCGCTGACACAAGAAGTAAAGCCCTGACAGTCTTAACCTCAAGCGAGTTTCTTTCTTTCGTCCATTGAATACTTGCCATTGAGAAGATGCGTTCTATAAATGCATTTGAAACTGGAATCTTGGAAAAATAAATTTAATAAATGAAATATAGTAGGAAATTCAACCGAAATAGCTGCACTGACGATCCGGTACAAGTTTTTGTATTTTTTTGTAGCTCCAGTAACATCAAAAATCATTCTCCATTTTTGCTCTGTTGTCTTGAGATAAAAATCCTCTTCATTAATGCCAGTCAGAGCTTTATTTAATTGTGAAACTTCATCAAAAAGTTCATCATTTTCTGAAATCTCCGGGCAAATTTGCTCCGCCAGTTGGACAACTTCAGCATAAATTAATTCCCTTGTTGAAAAATGAATTTAAATTTATGTTCTCTCACTAAATTCTTACTTATTTTCCAAATTAATAATTGAAATCCCTTTTGGCAACAATTGAAGTTGAAACCAGCGTTCAATATAATTGAGGACAATTTTGTAGAAATTCTAAAAAAATATGATTTTATTAATACGAATTTTATTCTTACACAAAATTCTGTTTCCAGTTCAGGAGTTGCTCGTCGAAGCGTGAAATAGCCACCAAAAAAGGGTTTTCCTGAATTTCCATCTCCATTAAGCCTTCCTTCAATTTTTGCTTTGAATCCCTCCATGACTTCTATTAGATCAGGGAGTAGCATATTCTCTTTCTATATGGAGTTGCATTTATAATAAAATAAAATTAACCTGTAATGTTAGAATTGCATCATTAAATATTTTTAGAACATTTTGCAAAAAATAACATATTGGCTTTGAATTTTCGGACTGAAAAAAATCACGAAGTAAACGAGGTTTAGTAGGATTTTCAAAAAGTTGTAATAGAGGATCCCATTTTTCCAAAATTAATGTTATCACTTTTGATAGTGTTGTCCATCTTGTAATATTAATAAAATATAGTACATACCTTCTGCTGCTGCAACTTGCATATCTATTGTGCCCAGAACTGACTTATTCCTTACAAAACTTCTCATTGTCTCATTCTTCATTTTTTCCTCTTCAATTTCCTTATGTTTCTTTTGGTCTTGATGCTGCGTAATGCCAGAAACTCCCATTGACTCAATGTTATAATCTCTCTGACACAATAAGCAGAAAAAATAGCCATTACCTTTTCTGCTTCTTTTTACAAAATTATATTGCTTCTCCCAATCGGGATTGAATGAATTTCTACTACGTTTTAAGCTCATCTAAAATAGATTACAAATAAAAATTATTGTATAAATAATGATAAAAGAAAACTATTTAGCGAAATAACATTTCAATATTACAGAAACAAACAAATATTTACACTTTGCCAAAAATATTTTTAAATTTTTTATTTAATTTTCATTTTCAATCCAAAATGTTGATTTTAAAGTATATACTTTCAATAAAGTATAAATTCAATTTCTTAAGTATAGAGGTCGGTTTCAAAGTATAATACTTTCAAATAAAGCACGAATGAGAGCCCTGTATTAAACCATTACGCAAACATTTATTTTAATTTTGTGTTTTTTTGTTTACCTCTTCCATTGCAAGTTGACAAAAAGAATAAAACATTATTAGAACTTAAAGCGCTAAAATCGCAAAATCTATTTTTACAATCAGCATCCGCCTCATTTAAAGTTGCACAACACATTTTTAATTTTTCATTGGGGGTGTGACCATTAGGTTGTTTTTGTGGTAAACTTTGAAATTGCGGTTCTGGAGGTTGTAAAAATAAAGGAAATAATTGGTGTTGTCCAAACACTTGTTTTATATTCAAAACAAATAAAAATAAAGAAATAACAGTGAAATATCTTTTAATGTTCATTTTGATGTTTATGTGCAACAGAAAATACCCACTATAAATGTTTAGATAAACACAAAACATTTGTTACAGAATTGGTTTTAAACTTTCCGGAAAACACAAAAACAGAGTATTTAAACAAAACATTCCGGAAACATTTAAAATCAGAATTTTAATAACAATGTTTTGAAGATCAGAAAAACATTCCGAAAACATACATTTTATTTAAGGAATATATATTTCAATATGTTTAGCAAGTTTTAACAGAATTAAAACTTGCTAAACTTAAAAATTTGCTTCCAAACATTGTTTTTTAAATTTTTAAATGCAATATTGTTGTGTGTGTTTTTCCTTTAAACAATGTTTGAAACAATGTTTGAAGAAATGTTTAGTAAATATTAATTTCAGCAATTAACCTAAACAAAATGAAAAAGGACTCGTTTTATTTTAACTAAAACACAAAATAAAAATAAAAGAAGATGAGCAGCTTTTGATTTTATTCGATTTTGTAAAACCTGTTATCTCCTTTATCTTTTATCATTTATTAGTTAATTTTTATATTTTGTAAAAGGAGAGAAAATTTTGAAGGAATTCCTTTGTCCAAAATTTTACAAAGAAAATTCAAATTAAATTTATTTAGTTAAAATTTTAATGTTTCTTTGTTTTCAAATTTTTTAGTTGTTAAAATTGAAAGGGAAAAATAAAGAAAACACAAAATTGGCAGCATTAAAACTTTAATTTTCAAAACAAGTTCAGACAATGAATAGTGTTTTTATAAAAACACAAACATACAAAACAAAAACATTTTTTGTTGAAACAATGTTTGGAAGGAATGTTCGAAAACAAGTTTACAAACAAGTTTTAAAAACTGTTTAAAAACAAACTTAAAAACAATGTTTGGAAATGTTTAAAAATTAAAACATATTAAAACATTGTTTTTAAGATTGTTTTTGGTTTTTAAAACTTGTTTATTAATAAACTTGTTTCCAAACATTGTTTTTAAAATTTTAAATACAACATTGTTGTGCTTAAAAACAACAAAGTTTTTGTTTTCAATGAATTTCCAGATATTCTTTGAAACAATCACGAATTTCATTAAATGATTCAACACAAAATCTTTAAAATTAAAAAAAAATTATTTTTTAATTTTTAAAAATAAATACAGATAATCCAAATAATTTGTAGGTACTCCATCATGCGCTAAATAATTTAATTTAAAGAATTTTCGTAATAAAAAGATAATTTATTTTTATTTATTTTATAATTTATTTTTCTTAATAAAATTTTAAAAAATTTTATTATTCAAAATGTTTATTTCATGCTTTATTTTATTTATTTATATTATTCACGTTTTATTTTATTAATAAGAAAATATCTAACCATGAAAAGGTTCGAACCCGAGACCCCTTTTTAATTGGTTTAGTTGGTCTAATTGGTTTAGGGTTTTTCTCTTACAGTTATCAGAATAAAAAATAAGCTTTTTTTAAACTTGTTTATTCTGATATATTTTTATTCTGATTTGTAAAACTTGGGCCGGTATTGTGGCGGTATACAGGGGGGTGGTGGTGGTGGCAAACATCCAACTGAACATAATCCGAACACAAAATTTTCTTACGACAGTAAATTTTCAGATAATAAAAAATCACCTGCACAATATTCCAAACATTTTCCGCTTACTCCTTTTTCCTTTAAAATTTATTTAATAGAAGAAAGGCAAAATCAGAATTTTTTTTTAAATCAGAATTAGAAAAACCTCCCAGAAAAATCAGAATATTTTATACAAACAAAACTTTCCGGAAAACACAAATATATTCTGATTTTTCTGAAAATATATAAACTTTATTTAAATAAATTCTGAAAATATTCTGATTTTTTAAATATTTATTTTAATATTCTGATATTCTAATAGGAAAAATACAAACTTTACAACATTCTGTGTGGTCAATACGAGAACTCGCACAGTCCCACATATGCCCTACCTTTGAAATTTATTTTTTATAAAATTTAAAAAAATATATACTAAATTTATTTTTTACTTAAAAATTAAAATTAATTTTTAAAAATAAATTAATTAAAAATAATTTTTTTTTCTCTTAAATATTTCTACCGTCTCTCCCCTGTCAGTGCACGTTGACAGATAATTTAATACCTAAAAATCATTTTTTTTTCAAAATTTTTTTTAAATTATAAACATTAGCTTGAGATATTGCTTCAAAATCACAAAATCGTCTAACACATTCTTTATCATCATTTACCAATTTTTGACAACATTTTTTTAATTTTAAATTTGGGTCAGATTGAGAGAATGGGGGGAAAATTAAAAGAAAAATAAAAATAAAAAATAAATTTAATAACATTCAAGTATTTTAATGGAAAAAGGCCTAAAGATTAATAAAAAAAGTTTTTTAATTAGAAAATCCAAAAAAATAGGTTTTACGATAAACATTGGGGTTGTATGTGTGAGTCAGAGGCGGGTCGGAATTCCTATTTTCGACCTTTGACTTTTGAGCCAGTTCCGATTTCCGAAAGTTCCGATTTCCGGCACCTTCTTCAGTTCCTACCCACCTCTGGTGAGAGTTTAAAAGAGAAATATATAAATTAATGAGCACACTTAAACTAAAAATTTTGCTTTATATCCAAAATTATTTTTAAAAAATAAAAATTTATTTAAGAAAAAATTATAAGCACGTTTGCTTATAATTTGACAGAATTTTTGATGTAATGTCGATTTTTTAAAAATTAATTGACTAAAATTTTAAAATTTATCAACAGATTTTCTGTCACAAAATATGACAGAAAATAGATGGGAAATTGGCTTTGTAAGCTTTCTAAAGTAATTTTGCTTATTAACCGCTCAATGACTTACCGATGATTTTTTTAATTTTCTGTTTTTTTTAACTTGGTTATAAGGAAATTTTACCGGGTTTACAATAATTTAGAGTTTAACCATTCAAGTTTAAAAATCCTAAAATTTAACCAAGACACAATAATATTTATTAAATAAAATATTAAAGATTACAAATAAAATGATTTAATAAAATCCAAATAAATGTGACGTTTTCTTATGAAATTAGGGCATTTGGGTAAAAAAGAGAGATTGATTAATCCAAAGACAATCGAAAATGTTTTTGAAGGACATTTAAAAAAAACTTAAAAAAAACAAAATATTTTTTTGACTGAAAGAAGGATAAAAATATTTGGAATAAAATATTTCCAAAAAATCATTGAAAATTTAAATGATTGGAAAGTTTTTGAGATAATTTTTTTTGTAAATTTTGAAGGTAAATTTTAGAAAATTTTAATGTTTTTTAAAATATCAGTTTTTATTGCTGTATTTAATAATTTAATGATTATCTAAGCCGTCTTTAGCTTATATGTTGTTTTTTTATCCAAAAACAAAATTTCTGAAAATTTATATGAAGGCAAAATAGAAACAAAAATGACAGCGTAAAATTGTAAAAGCAGGGCCGTACTGAGAACGTGGTTAGCATAAATTCCGAAAACTTGGTTCAAAAAATAATAAAATTACAAAATTTTAAATTAATACATATTTTCTAGGGTGTTTTCAACCAAATAAAAAAATTTCAGAATTTTTGGGCAATTATGTATTTCTTTAGTTATAAGCAATTTTTTTAAAATTTAAAATTTATCAACACATTTTTTTGTCACAAAATACTTTTAAATAGGTCGTGGGCTTACTTAAAAGATACATATTACTTTAAGGAACCGAGCCAATTCCTTTAGCCAATTTTAATTCATCGGAAAAGTAGCAATATTTCTGTCAAGCGATTTCGTCATTTTAGGGGTATAGTCATTTTTACAAATTTTTAGAATAAACAAAAATATTTTTGTTTTTGAAAGGTCATTCTCGCCATTTGGAAAAAAATAAATTTGTATTATTTCCTTTTTTCTTATTATCAAAATATTTAATAGGTGTGGCCAAGTTTATTTAAAAAATGTAAATATTTATTTAGAAATTTCTACAAAGGGAACCCATAAAAATGCAGTCAGTATCAGATGATCATCCTTACTTTTGGGTTTTCTTTTTTCTCTTCTCAATAAAACTCTTCGCCTTTTTTTCAGTTTCTTTTTTTTCAATAACCCCGCACCCCGCCTTTTTCAAACTTTTCATTTTTTTGTTGGCACTATAAAATCTTGGTTCGTGGTCCATATAAAAAATCCCATTTTTAAAAAATAAGGACATTAAGAGGTTCGATTGATATAAAAGTTATTCGAAAAAAATTGAGAAATAAAAAGTGGCGGCCCAGAAAGACTATAAAAAGCTGAAAGACAACCGTCGATTTATTTATTTAATTTTGGCATAAAATTTAATTATTTGGCGTTCTATTTAATTTTTGCTTTTTAATCCTTTTTGATTTTCTTTCGTTTTCTTTCATTCATTTACCTAAATTGCTAGAAAATTTTTGTAATTTTTGAGGTCCGTGTTTGTTTTTATTTGCCGTATATCAACTCGTATTGATTGTTCTATTTATTACTTAAACCTTTTCAAATTTAAATAAATTAAGGATTGAGTCTCCATTCACATTTTCCTTATTAATTTCATATCCCACTGTTATTTAAAAATTTTTTTAATTTTTAGAAGACTCTTTTACTTAACTTTACTTAAAAATGAACAATTTTCAATTTATACTTTTACTGACCTGTTTTGGACTTTCTCTTTGCAATCATACTGACTCATTTTGCTCCTCTCCTGACTTTGACTTTGATTGTGGGGTTGGCGAACTTCGTAGTCGTTGCATCTCTTCCGTCTGGACTTGTGATTACATTTTTGACTGTTCTACTGGAGCGGTTTGTTTATTTTTTAATTTTTAGATGTTTGTTGGGGGGGGGGGGTTAAATATTAAGGGGAAGCTTGCCAAGTTAATCGATCGACTTCTTGGTTTCACCATTTCCTTCTCTACTTGAATAGGTATTAAAAATGGTATGTATGCACTGGAATGTATACACAGCTTTGTTTTGGTCCGATTTCGGATTTCTTCAGATTTCTGGGTAATCTTCTAGTTTACTGGTCCCTAGAAAATTTAGCCGAATTCGACTTGGTCGAACTCGGGTCGGGGTTCGAAATAAATAAATTGTAACCTTATATTCGAACTCTTACCTACTGGCAATCCTCAAAGATATTGAAAAATGCCACATTGTTTTCTTGGGACCAGTAAACTAAAGATTAATACCTAGACTTATAAGGTGCTTAGCAATTTAGTTTTTTCACGTTTGACACAATAATTGTATACATATTTCAATTTATAGGATGAGGGCTTTCTTTGCAAATATTTACATAAATGCCCACCCGGCTATTTTATGTGTCGCAATGGTGATTGTATCTTGGCATCCAAACGATGTGACTCCATTAATAATTGCATTGACCGGTCCGATGAGCTTGCTTGTTTCGTTTCTACAACGGAGGAGGAGGAGGACAAGGAAGATATTCTTGACCAACGTGCGGAGGCTTTTAATGATCAAAACGATGGCACCACCTCAACATTTTTGCTCTTGGCTCTCTTTCTGCTTGTTGTCTTGGTGGTTCTTCTCATTGTTTGGGTTACTCGACGCTATCCGGATACCAAATCGTTTGTTTTATTTTTTTTTTCAAATTAAATTTGTTTTTTAGTCAACTTGACCTTGCCTTAAAAAATTTCAATCAGCGTGTTCGTGGCACTTCTAGCGAGGCGCATGTGAACATTCTCGTACCGGCAGAGGACAATTACTTTGACAACCCGGTATTTTTTTACAAAATAAAATTGTAAAGGATTTAATTTGGGAACATCCTAATTAAGGATAAACCAAACTTAAAAATCCGTTCTAGTAGGGCCTGTGCTTAGACGCTATTGGTGTTATTCCTTTCTCCGAAGGATGGTCTAAAGTCGGATTTACACTTTCCTTAGTGTTTGACTTTTAGTGGAGGTTAAGACTGATATTTAAATCCTGATCTATAATAGGTTTGGGCATCTTATTATTTCCCGCCTTTATATATTTTCTAACTTATTTTTAAAATTCATAGCTCTCTACGTTGCAACCTCCACTCTCACTCAATATCACCGAAGTTACCATTGGACAATAAGAATTTTTGGAAAATTTTTTTATTTTATACTTAAACAACAGGGGTGTGCTTGTTTCGCCTTTCGTCTTTTCGCCGATTTTCGCCTTTTTTGGACTTTCGTCTTTTGCCTTTCGCTTTTTAAAATCATTTTCGTCTTTCGCTTTTTAAAATCACTTTCGGCACACCTCTGCTAAATAAATACATGTAGACATTTAATTCACTTAAAATTAATTTTTGTAGGCTAATAAAATTTACATATTTTGACTTTTTTAACTGCAAAATAGTTTTGTTCTAATTGTTCAACCAACACATTTTTCTTTTTTTCGAACATTAAGGGCCAAAAGTCTGGCATTGAAATGATTAGGTGAGATCAGATTAGGCGAGAGTGACTAAAATTATAAATGAAAAAAATTTGTTTTCTTTAACTTAAGTCACGCCGGTTGTTTTTTAAATTACCCGATTTTTGAGTTAGGGAAGGCTTTTTCTACAAGTATTTTTCCTCCATTTTCTCGCTTTTTACAGCTAATTTTGTTTTTTGGTTACTATGACTACATCATCTTTAAAGAATTTTTCTTCCATTTTTCTCGCATTTGCTACTAGAAAAATTCTCTGTTTAATTTTTATTGACAAAAAATGAATGGTTATTTATCATTTTTAAATTAATAAAAAAAATCTTTTAAATTTAAGTAAATACAAGCAGTAAATGGACAAGAGCTTTATGGGAACCTGCAGCAAATATACAAACAAGTAAAGATTTTGTAGTTTTGAGTGACCTGCAAGGAAGAGGCGATTATCAACTTATTCTTGTAGACGAGTCTTCTCTACCGTTCAAATTAAAATTGTTTAAAGGGTTGAAACCAATTGTTGAATCTGCCCTAGCTGAATGCCCAACAGGAATTGTTGGATTTGCTTGTGATTCGGTTTAATTTTTAATTTTTTTTGAATAAGGGGTGTTCAATACTTTATTGCTATGGTAATTGTTACCCGTTTTTTTGAATTAGGGAATGCTTTTTCTACAAGCATTTTTGTTTAATTTTATTGGGGAGCAGGCCAGTATACCGCGAGCCCAGTATACCGCCGAGCTACAACTCCGTTCAAAATTGTCGAATCCGGGAGGCCCTGGTATGGTTCGATGCGCCTCAACGAGCTGAATCGAACCATACCAGGGCCTCCCGGATTTGACAATTTTGAACGAAGTTATAGCTCGGCGGTATACTGGGCTCGCGGTATAACGGGGTGTACCCTTTTATTGAAGTCATTTCTTTGGCCTGTCATGACTTAATTTTGCCTCGAGGGTAAGACCTCTGTTTAATGTAGACAACTAAAGGTTTTTTAGTGTCTAACAAGGAACCATATTGAACTGTCCGGAAAAATTTTCAATTAAAAATTATACCATCGTGTAGAGCATGGAAAAAAACCTCATACGTATTTTTTCTTTTTTGGCCCTAACCCCCATTTCGGAAAGTGGTTCCTTTTTCCTAAACTAATATAAGTGTTTATATACCTCTAATATATTTTTGGAGAATCAACTCTTTTTTAAAATTAAATTTCAGGGCAATTCAGATTCAACATGTTTAGCTGTTGCTTGTGGTTCTAGCCTTCTCATCTACAGAAATATGAAACCATATTATCGTTATAATGTACCTCAAAGGGATATTTTGACACCTGAAATGGAATTGTGGGGGCTTTTAATTAAATCTCAAATTCAGAAAGGACAGTTATTGGAAGGATTAAAGGTTTTACAATTAAATATTTTTGACTAAGCTTCAGTCAAGCTTTAAATTTCACATGGGCTATTTTCACTTAAAATAGGACACTTAACATTAGAACATCCAATAATTGACACAGATCCGTTATTAATGTAAATTAATTTTTTTGGGATCTTCTTGTAAAAATATACCATAATCGTTTAAACAAGCCCACAGACAAAATAAAAAAAACCTTTCTGACATGAGAAGATTGGATGGAGAATTTTGATAGATTTCTCAACTGTGTTTTAATATTAGGGTTGCCGTTTTCGAGTCGGGCCGACAGTCGAAACATTTTTTTCGGGCTTGTTTCTGTCGGGCCGGTACGAGTTTTTTTCTGACCAAATATCTCAGGCTCGACTCGATATTTCGGTTTGAGTCGGGCCATTTTGTCAACCCTAATTAATATCTCCGACCCTCTCAATTTTTTCTACCCTTTTTTGGAATCCTCCAAATAATTTTTAAAAAAAAATTATTTTTAAGCAACTTCAACAGCAACATTCAATTTCTGAATTAAGCCATCAAAGTCAACGTTTATTAACTTTTGAGGAAGACAATTCAGTTGAAAATATTCAAGAAATTCAAAATTTATTTATTGATTTTGTTTTGAAGAATAATAGTAAAGAAATTAAAGAAAATGAAAATTATGGAAATGTTGAAAATTTGGTTAATCCCATACCTCCACCCTTAACTAATATATTAATTACTTGTATTTGTACAATTCCAAGGAATCAGTCAGTTAATTCTGCTGTGGTTTGATTTTTTAATTTTTTTTTCGAAATTGGTGGGGTAATTGTGTTGTTCTTCTCCTTTCCTTTTTTTGAAATTTATTTTTGGGTTCCCTTTAGAATTTATTTTTGGGTTATCTTTGGGTTCCCTTTATATTCTGACAATGAAGCATATTTTTTTGATTTGATTCCCTACGTTAACCGTGTCAGGGATATTTGTTGATTTATCTGTACAAGGGATGTCACGGGTTGAGAAAAAAGTTGGGTCGAGAAAAAGGCCGGGTATCGGATTTCGAAACCCGTGACATCTCTGGTTTGTACCTATTGTCCTGTTATATGTACATCAATTTAAAAAATTTGAATAGCACTTAAAACGGACCAAATAAGGTACAATTAAACCAATGAATAGTCTCAGGCCTAATTCCCTTAGGCCTTGAACCCAAATAACTTTTCGAATTCCAAAAGTGACTAACCCTCTAAAACTCCAAACATGGAGGACAGACAATTAATTTTTAATTTTTTAAAAAGGATGTTTTAATTTTGGGAACAGAAATGGGTTCAATTTATTTTGTTGATTCACAAGCGTATACTGTTATTAGAAAGGATAATATTGATGCTGTTCCTGTTAAAATTTTGCCAACAGGTTTTTTTGGAAGATATTTTTTAAAAATTCTTTTTAAAAATTCTACAATAATTTTTTTAAGTATTGTTGTTTGTTATTCTGTTGTTTGGTATATGCTGCGAATCTAAAATTATATTTTGTTTTGGAATAGCAGCATTTTATTTTTCCACAGGGATTTTAACCTCACGAATTTTCTTATTTTGTTAGTCTAATTTTAACGTGACCTTGTGTCTTAGTGGTATCGTTTGCGGTTTGACTAGTTTTCGATCAAGGTTCGAATCCTCCGGTGCTTAATGTTTTTTTCTTTTTGTCTCTTATGATTAAAAAAATATTTTTTGCAGGTCATTATGATTTAGAATATCGAATTGTTATTTGTACAAGAGAAAATGATGTTTTTGTTTTACGTAAAAACAATAAAGGAGATTGCCATATAAATTCTTTTTATATTCGAGAACATCCTTTTAATGTTATTTTTTGTTCTAGTCAGGTAAAGAAATTTTTTTTAGAAAATTTGTAGAAAATATTTTTGTGACTTTTTAAAAAATACATAAACGAATTTAATATATTGAGAATTTATACTGTAATAGAGCTTCAGAAATAAAGTCCGCAAAAATTGTCCGCAAATTTTTGACTAACAAATAAGTTCAGACGTAATTCATTATTTGTATGAATACCCCCGAATTAAGTCCACATTTACATATTTTTAATATACTTTCTTTTAAAATTCGGGTTGGCTGGTGAAATTTACTTTATTTACCTTATAACTCCCGACTCTAGCGGTCCAACTTTGAACGGCCATAACTCGGCCCACAGTCATTTTGCAAGAAAACCTGTATCACTTCATAATAAGAAGGATGGTGCTCTATTGAATGATACTAAAAGATATATCAAATTCGCACTTACAGTAAACGATGGTTCCTTGAAAGTGAACCTCCTATTTCTTTTCCTTTTTAGGAGGTTTAGCTTCTTGCTACACCTGCATTATAAGATTAGACTTTTTCACCCCAAAGGGTGTATCCAAGAACGAGATTTTTTTGTTTTCAACGGAAAAAAAATTAAATTTTTTAAATTTAAATTTCAAGTTTGTCTTTGCCACTCGTCGTCGCCGACTTATTTTTTACAGTCAAAAATTTCGTCGACAAAATTCTATGCAATTCGACGAAGATATTGTTGATTTGGAACATTTTTATTATGAACCTAAACAGTTTTTTTAGAAAATTTAAAAAAAAATAATATTTCTATTTTTGAAAGATATGAAGGGGTTCTTGTCGCTTTGGGGAATGAAATTAATTTGTATATTGACCAATTAAGAGTAGATACAATTAGAATGGATAGACCTATAGAATGGATTAAATTTGGAAGAATGGGAAGAGAAGAAGGTGTTTTGGTTATTTCTACTGAAGGTAATAAATTTATTAATTTTGATGAAAAGGCACAAATTTTAAACAATATGTATTTCTGGGCCCTTTTGAAAAAAAAGCAGTTGAGGCTTGACCTTTTTAAAAAAAATTTTCCCTGCACCGCTGGAACGTGTGTGAATGTTAGGTGCCTTCGTCGCTTAACATTAGTAACCAGAAGTCGATCGGAATTCCGATTTCCGGCACTCTTTTGGGATCTATTAGGGAAGCTCCAAAAAATCTATAACCAAAGGTTTACAGACTTTGAACATATACAAAAAAATTCTTTAACTATTTTTATAAAGCTTTACTTTTTTATCCCAATACTTACAAAAATTACTTGAAGGCAAATAAGACTATACCAAATTATTGACAGATAAATACAAATATATTTAAGATAATCAACAAAATTAAGAGAGCATATCAACAGTTTGGGGCATTATAAACAAAAATTTATTTATTTCCTAAAGATCTATCCACGGAAATTCTTCTGGCGCAATTTTATCCCCTAATGAAGTAAACGCAACAAGACACGTGTAGATGCAGAAGACCAATGAAAGCAAAGTCATAATAGTAGCTATCCCAACCCACGTCGGATCACGCTTTACCTTCTGTCCCTTTTCTAAAATTGGAAATATACAAAAATTTTAGGAATTTTCCTATGGAATAGGGCTGTCAATTTCACTAAATTCTTAACTGAACCGATAAACCACACTGAAAATCTTCGGTTTTTCGATTCTGTCTGAAACTGACAACCCTTCTACACAACCTACGTTCTTCAGGTTCTTCAGGCTCTTTATTAGACTTTCTTTCTGACTTCTTTTTAGGAACATCTTTTTTCTTCGATTTCTTCTCCTTTTTGGGAGGTTTAGCTTCTTGCTCTTCCTCCTCTTCTTCTTCATCTTCCATTTCATCCTCTGTTGTATCATAACTACGGGAGGCATCTGGCGACTTCTTTTTCTTTCCTAAAAATTAAAAAGAGGATTGGAAGCGTTTTTGACTAAAATACCTTTTTTTGATGTCTTCTTGCTTTTCTCGTGAGCAGTTTTCGTTGGTTTCTTCTCTGCAAAAAAAAACAAAAACATTTTAAAATTTTAGAAAAATTCTCAACTTACTGGGAATTTTTTCGATCAGAGAATTGGAGATTTCGCCAATTGGTTCATATCCCTCCTTTTCCTCCTTTTGCGTCTTTTCTGAACGGAGTCGAGAAGGTTCACTTTCTGTTGAAAGTTTATTGTCCGATGTTTGTTGTGGAAGGTTTACAAATGCCGAAGGTTCATCATATAGCGGCGGCTCAGGTCCTCCCTCAATTTCCTTTTTTCCTGAAAATGATCCTGACATCGTTTTTACACTGCCTTTTGCTGAAGTTCTGAGAACCCACTAACGTTTGGATATGCCTGAAGTATGTTGTTATGGTTTTGATAACGAGAATACATGTGCCTTTTATACTATTCCTATGTTTACCCCCTGAATTAATTTTGTATATGTTAAACTAATTGTGGTTGATGATTCTTTTAATTCTAATTACGAGCTTCTATTTAGTGAAAATTTAAAGAAAGTTCCTAACCAGGATTTTCAATTCGGTTCCTGATATCTAAATTTCCAACAACCGATATCCTTAACAACCACACTTGGAGGAGAGGGGCGGGAGAATGATTTTATACTTTTTAGTTTAACTGACATGTTGTCAACACCTCTCACGACATAAGGAGGGGGCATAAGAAGGGGGAATTCAACAAAGAAAATTAAAACAGAGCTTTATCGAGCTTTATCGCGTTGGCCAGAATTACTATTTATTTATTTTGCCCAAAATTTGTCTAATGTAATTCTTTAAATATTTTTTAGGTGGCGGCCTCTGTGTAAAAATATTTCGTCGTGTAGCCACATTTGATGAAGGAACTAGAATCACTACAAGTGGAATACAACAAAGAAAATCAGCAAATATTAGCTCTATTGAATTACCTAAAAGATCTCGAACATTTGTTGATCAAAGTTTAAGGGAAAGGGAAAATCCAAAATTATTACACCAGGCAAGAGAAAGAGGAAATTTTGTTTTTTAATTTTCCCTGACAGATTTATCAACGAAATTGGTTTATGGTTAAATGGCATTCTGCTAAAACTTTTGCAGCGTTGGAAGGAGGGGGTAGGGCTGGGGAATTGTCAGCAGCAACTGGGGGGTCTGAGCCTTTACAAGTTCAGTATGAATTGTTGGGGTTTGGGCCTAATTTTCGACTTCAAATAAAAATTTTTTGTAGCGGGTAGGTTCTTTTGATATTTAAATTAGAGATCGGACTGGGAGGGTTGTACAAGAATTGAGATTGTTATCTCGAAAAATATGGATATCTATAACTTAAATCTTGTTTAGGCCCGGTCATTAGTTAAGTAAAGCAGCTGAGCTATAGCTATTTCTCTCCTTTAGCTAGGCAAAAAGTTATTTGGCGGCTGGGGGCGAACCAGCACTTCAGTAGACAGAACGAATGTGTTATCATCCATTACACCACGCCGCCTACTGCATAGCCTTAGGAAATAAATATTCTTTACAGTTACACTAACTATAATTAATATTTTGATTAATTTTAAAGGGAAATAGAAAATGTTGAAAGATGGCTAATATTTATATTTAATGAACAAGAATATTCTTTTAGTCATCGGTTTGATTTTTAAAAATTTCCAAAATATTTTGTTTTCTCTTAAGAATGATTTTTATTCCTCGATTATTTCCAAATAAACAATTAAAATTTTATTCTGATATTTATTGTCTTCATCCAGACAAGCAACATTTAATTGGGGAAGAAGAAACAGAAATAAGAATTATTTTGATGAGAAAGGACAGAACGAAACCTGTTTGGTCAGCTAATTTTCAAATGCCTGCAAGTGAATTGTTAATTGAGTAGATGATATTTAGATGAAAATAAAAAGTTTAAAAAAATATCTAGAGTTGATTAATATAGGGATTGCTAAGCTAAAAAGCGGCTCAACGACTTTTTCCAAAAATCCGTCTCGAAAAAGATTAAGGGCCGCCCCAGTAAATTTAAGCTCGAAAATTTGCCATTTTACTGTTCCCAAACTTAAAAACGGCAATCCCAAACTTTTTTTTAATTTCTCGCTTCCATATTTAAACTTTTAAATAAACAATGTAATAATTTTTCAATTTTTTTATTTAAATAAAAATACATATAAAATTGTGTTTATAATAATGTGCTTAATAAAATGATTAATACTTCTTTGCTTCCGATCAGAGGTCGATTGGAAATGACGGAGGTGCCGGAAATTGGAACTGTCGGAAATGGGGGGGGGGGGGGGGGTCAGAAGTCGGAAATCGGAAAATGCTCAAATGTCGGAAATCAGCCTAAATTTTCGAAAATCGGAATTCCGATCGACCTCTGCTTCAAATATACTTTTAGCTAAATATTTCTCATAGCCATTATTTAGTATATAACAACAATATCAAAAACATCTTAATTTTGCTTCATTTTCTCATTATTTCCAACTTTTTTAATCACAGAATTTTTTCTACTACCATTTTTATTTAAGACTTGCTCCTTTTCTTCAATTTTTTTCTCTTCTTCTCTTTCATTTTGTTGTTGTTTTAATTGAAATAATAATTGTTGTTTTTGTTGTTGTTGTATTTGGGCAAATAACATTGTTGAAGCTGCTGCCATTTCGTCTCTACCAAATGGCAAAAATTGTTGTTGTTGGCAATTTGTCTGTTGGTTAAATGTCGTTCCGTTAGTGTTGTTTTGTTGTTGTTGTTGTTGTGTTTCTTCTGTTTTTGTTTTGTTTGATGTTTTTGTTTGTTTTTGATGTTCTAAAAGTTTGGCTATTAAATGTTGTTGTTGGGATGTTTGGATTATTTGTTGTTGGTGTGGTTGTTCGTTTTTGTTTGATTGACCTGGGGGTGCTCCCATCCACATAGCAGCAGCGGCAGCTTGAAATTGTGCCTGGACAGCAGCTAGGCGTTGAGCGGCTAGTGTTGTTGCCAACTCTAAAAGTTGTTCTGAAAAGTTTTTTGTCCCATAATTACTATTTTATTTTTAGCATGTATTTTACCGTATTGCACATAAAAATAAACGCTAGTAAAGGAAAATTAACCCAACAACACAAATGGTTTTATTTAAAAAGGAATTTATTTGGTTGGTGTGATGGGCAAAATCGTGCTTACAGGATCCCGCATGGAATTTTTTTTTCAAAACTTTTATTTCATAAAAAACTGGGGAAGTAGTTCCTATCCACATCCTCCCGCCCTAGCCGTTGGCAAAGGTTTAAATTGAAACATACTATACAACATGTTTCTGTGAGTTGAGTGGAACGGTCCAATTTTCTTGTGTGAAAATGCCTAGGGATATAGCTATCGGTCCTTAACTATCGAAAAATCGTAAGAGGGAGAAGCTTATATTTTTTGTTTGTTAATTAATTTGTTTACCAGAATTTAAAGTAGCCAATCCCCCATTAGGTAATTGAAACCCTCTAGATAACAAAATATTTTCCATTTGTTCTAATTGATTAGAATTTAATAAAGAAGAATTATTTTCTCCTTCTTGTTGATTATTTTCTGTTTGTAATTCTAATCTTGGCCTTTTAATTAAATTAATTTTTGTTTCTTTTTTATTTTCCCCTTCATTATTTTCTTCTTTTTCGATTAAATCAGAATTTATTTTTGTTGGTTGGTTATTTGTTGAACATAAAAGGGCTGCTTGAATAAGCATTTGACGTTGAAAACCGGCCATTAAAGCTTCGCGTAATTCGTTTTGAATTGGAAGGTCACTGAAATTATTTTTGGAAAATTTTTAAATTTTTATTTTTTATTTGGATTTTTACTTAGAGAATACTAATTTAGATTATTCGAGGAAAGGAAAGGTGGTTAATTTAAAAATAAAAGAATTTACTTGGGGAAAGATTTAACTCTTAGTTGTTATTTTTTTCTGATTCTGGATCCCTAGCGCTTTGAAATTTTGATTTTACTTTCTTTACTTTTATTTTGAACTAAAAAAGCTCAGATCGGTTTTGAATACGAAAATTTTGCTATTTTTTAGTAAAATTAAACCGTTTTCTATAAAATTTTAAAACCGAGAATTGATAAATTGACAATTTCTTTAAGGTTTCCCTTATTTTTAATAAAGGTATGAAAACGATACGAGTATGAATCTCCCCTCCACTCATTCATATTTCGAAAAATAAATATTTCCCCCTAAACTATTAAATTTTTAAAAATAAATTTATCTTTTAAACATTTATTTTTCAGTATTTTTTAGTGAAATCCGAGATTTTACTTTCCTTATTTTTTCTACAATTTTCCCATTCGCGCAATCATTTGTTTATGTAATATACTTAAATTACTTTTTAATTCTTTATCCTTTTAAAATCCTTTTATTTGGATTAAATAAATTTATAAAATTAAAAAATTCTTTTTTTCCCTCTTACATTTTTTGCCTTTCCTTAAAAAAGGATTTTTGTCCCAACAAAAATCCTCATTCTCCTCTTCCCTCTTTCCACCACCAAAATCCCCCCCCCCCTTCCCTCACTTCTTTTTCCCTTCAATTTAATCCCAACAAAATCCAATAATCGAGTACAAGCTTTAACTAATAAAAAACCTTTTCCCCTTCCTTTCCTCTATTAAAAACAATATTTTATTTCCTAAAAATTATTTTCACCTCCCCACCCCCTTCCCTCCCTCCCTCCTTCCTTCCCTCCAAAAACATTATTTTTATTATTTAATTCAATTTGCCTTTTCTTTTTAAAAATATTTTTATGCCAATATATTCCCCAAAGCTTGGAATTATATAAATAATTATTGAAGAGAAAAGCATGTTAAATTTATGGTAGAAAAAAAAGAAAAGATTTTTTTTAATTTATGGGCCAGAAAAATATTTTTGTTGTTTTTATTAAAAATTCAAATAAAAATGAGAGAGAGATTAAAACTAAATTTATGATACCTCAAAAAACTGTTAATTGCCTACTCAAAAAATTTTCAAAAAAAATTTCAAAAATATTCTAATAAAAGCCCGCTCTCCTATAGAGGTTAAAAAATAAAAAGCGTTTATTAGAATAAATTAGTTGGAATCAGAATTTTTTTAAATTTATTTTTCAAAGACAGAAATTCCTAAAAATAATCATTAGTAGATATTTTAATTAATTTAAAAAATTTTTTTTGCTAAAAAATAAAAATATTATTTCCTACTAAAGTATTTACAGTATCTAATAATAACAATAGAAAAATAAAGAGAGAGAGAGAGAAGGGGGATTTTACTTAATATTAAATATTTATTTAAATATGTCAATCAACTTTATTTTTGGATCATCCAAACAATTGTCAAGAGTTTATTATTTTGAATATTTAATTAAAAATAGTAAATTTACATAATTATAGCAACAGGAAAAGTGTTTAGAAAAAATTTTTTGAAGCAGAAAAAATTATTATTAAAAAAATTCTTTAAAAATGGAAGGAATGGAAATTAATAAAATTATTAAAGTAAATATTGAAATTTATTTTAAAATTGAGTTTTTCTATTTTTAACCCTATCAACTTAATAAAAAACTTTTTAAATTAAATAAAAATTAGAGATAAGGCAAAAATGAGAGAGACAAGAATTTTTGAATTAAAAAAATAGTCAAAAGAGAATCTAAATTTATAAAATTTTGTATAAACATTAGAGTTTCACCGGAAGCTCCAATTCCGGTACAAATCGGTTCCGGGCAAACCGAAACTTTTTTACACCCCAAAGGATTTATTTTTTTAAAAATATGGGTTGGCCTTGAATTATTCTCAAAATTTTCGCCTGCGGGCCAAAAAAGGAAGAAATCTGACTTCTTGTCCTCAGAAATTCTAAAAATATTTAATAAATATACTAGAAAGGTGTTAACTACCTTCTCTAAAAATTTAAAAATTTTAGGTTGTGTACTCGAAAGTTTATGTTCAAAAGGCAGGCAGACATTTGAGGACGGACATTTGAGGACGGATTTTTGAGGACGGACATTTAAGGACGGACATTTGAGGATACAAAATTATATACAAATCGGCAAAATCTTAACAAAAAATGCCAAAAATTAGTGAAATATTAAAATAAATTATGATTTATTTGTAACATACAATGAAAATTTATGGATCAAGGGTGTTTAAGCGAATTAAGGGTAAGATCAATGGATTTGAACGGATACGTATATTCGGGCAGATATTTGAGATATTCGGAGAGTTGGTTGAATCTATTTATTCTCAGATCCCCATTATATTTATTCTTTTTAATTTAGAAAATCCCTCATAATGCACCAAATTCCCAATCCCATCTAGATCCTAATATCTCATTAATCAACGATAGCCCTCTTAATCCATCAGAATCACCTTAAATGACTCTCGATATCCCTCTAAATCCACAGATATCCAGTTAATTGGGTGATGTTCACAACTGAACTCTGATATTCACTTTAATCACTCCAAATCCACTGACATCTATATTAATCCTTTCTAATCTTATTGAACTATGGGGACTCAACTGTGCCATGCTCAAAAATAAAATTCCAAAAATAATTATCTTATTATGGGGGGGGGGTATTTTAGAGAGGGGGGCTATTTTTTTCGATCGAGCTCTAGAGGGGGGCTATTTTAGAGAAAATACGGTATTTAATTTTGCACAATTTTGTATCCTCATATGTCTGTCCTCATATGTCCGTCCTCGAAAGTCCGTCCTCAAATGTCCGTCCTCATATGTCCGTCCTCAAATGTCTCACCACCGTTCAAAAAAGTTAGGGGAATTTTCAAAAAGGACGTCGATTTCGGTTATTCCTTTAATCATAACTTTCAGAATTTTTAACCAAAAATTCTGAAATTTTTAGAATTTTTAAATAACACCATAGAGGATCTAAATATTTAAATTTTAATTTAAAAAGTATTTTCCCAGCTATTTTATATACACCCGCGCCGAATTATCCTTTGCGCCGAAACGTCTTAACTTTAATTTTCCCCTTATATTTTTCCCATAATATTTAATTTCTAAAAATTCGTTTTTACCCAATTTGTTCATTAATTTGAAGTTTTCTTTGTTGTAAATTAAAAGAAAGATCAACAGGTTGTTGTTTTTGTTCTTTATTAATTTCACAACAATTATTTTCTCCTCCTTCTTTATTTTTAATTAACGAAAAAGAATGCTTTCTTCCATTTTTATTGTTCACTAAACTTGTTGAAGGTTCACTAGAAGAACCCCTTTCTGGTGTTCCTTTTAAAGATTTTTGTTGTTGCCTTTTATTTATTTTATCCGCATAAGCTACTGGACAACCACTTAGAGAACGGTGGGAATTACGAGACTGGAAAAATAAAGAAAAAATCTTTTGAGATTGGAAATATTAAATTGTTGATTTTAAGAGATTTTGTGGACATTTAAAAAATGTCCAGAAAAATAACCAATTTTCAAAATTAAATCGTACATAATTCTTTTTTTCTTTACAAAATCTTTTTCATCCATCTCTCTGACGATTCTCCGACCTTTATTCCGATTTTTTTGGATACCGAAGTTTGAATACCCAATTGAAGGCTATGACTATTACGAGCCCGCTCAATGACCCATTGAAAGTGGTTCTCTAATTTGATTCCTAAGTGTTTAGGTATTTAAAAATTTTTTAAAAAAAACGAAAGAATTTTCAATAAAATTTTTAATTAAAAATTAAAAACAATCTTTCATTCTAAAAACATACAGAATTAACATGCCCCCTTCCATCACAACCCGGATATGTGCAACGAAGTTGTTGGTCTGGTTGGAGGGCCAAAACTTGAAAAATAATTTCTTTATATTAAACATTTATTTTTTTATTTTTTATTAAATATTTTACATTAAAAATAATTTTTAGCTATAAAATTATTATTTTTAAATTAAAAAGTTTATTATATATTAAAGTTTTTATTACTCCAAAAAAAAAGTAAAACTTTATTACTCTTATTTTACTGAAATTAATATCTAAATTTACAAATACAAAGTGGCCAACTAACTTTAATAAAAATATCTTAAATAATGGTTAATAAAGTATTGAGTGTAGTTCAGGGGTGTGCCAGTTTCGCTTTTCGCGTTTCGCATTTCGCGGATTTTCGCGTTTTTTGAACTTTCGCATTTCGTTTTTTTAAATCCGTTTCGGCACACCCCTGGTGTAGTTAAACTTTAAAGTCTTTTTAATTTGAAAAATTTAATTTTTAAAAACATTCATTCCCTTTGTGTTTTTTAATTTATCTTTGTTCCCCCAAAAAAGTCAGCAAACTACTTTAGTCTAAAAAATAAATGACAAAAATGCATGGAAAATTTAATAGGAAGACAGAGTAAAAAATAAATAAATTTTATACTTAATTTTGCCGCTAAAAACATTATTTTCCTTTTAAAAATGTGCAAACAATATAAAGCCATTTTTCAAGTAATTAATCTTATTTCCCAGTAAAAACATTCTTTCTACATAAATGGACATTGAAATTAGTAAATAAAAAAAGAAAATTTTTGGGGTTTTTAAGAATTACTGTAGATTACTGTAAATATTTTAAATTTTGGAAGAAAACAATTTTATATTTAACCCTTACTGTAACTAAAAAATAAAAGAAAAGCTTTTTAAAAATGTTTTTTTTTGTTCTGTTAATTCTTACTATTTTCTCTTAATCCTTTTTTAAAGCTTTTAAAGAAATACATTGAATTTTCTTGTAGGAAAATTTTTTTATTAGATTTTGAAAATAATTAAAATTATTTAAAATTAAATATTTATGACGAGATGGTTTGTTTACTTTTTGATCTTTAAAATACTGAAAGAGAATAAAAATAGGTAAATCTCTGAGATTTTTAACAGATATTTTTAGAAATGTTAACTAAACTCTCTAAAAATTTCGGGAAATTAAATAAATAAAAAAACACATTTTATCCTTTATTTTCAAAAAAATTCTAAAATTTTCAGAATTATGTAAGAAGTTGGTGATTAATTAAAGGGCAGTCTATTAAATGTTTATAAAATTAAAGGGGGAAAGGATTTTTTTTAAAAAAATTTTTTTAATTTCTTTTTCGGGCCAAAATTCGATGCCCACCGAACCCAACAACCCCAATTTAAAAAAAAATATTTTTAAAAATATTTTTGTTACAAAATATTTCTTCCTTTCTTTTTTCCTCTATTCATTTACAATCTGTTAATCTTTTAGAAAATAGAGGAGACATGCGCCCCCAAAATATTTTTTTTTGGAAATATAATTATTTAAAGGAATTACTAATTGGTTATTATTATTTAATAAAGAAAAGAAAATGAAAAAATTCCCTTAATTTAAGGGCAAAAGAAGCGCTCTAATATTTTTTTTTCTCCTCCAATTTTTTACTGTTACAAACACACACACCTGTTATTTTTTTACTTATTTTAGTAGCAATATTGAAAAAAATAAAATTAGAGGGAAGAAAGATTAGTTTATTATTTTATTTTTTGGTTTTTTCCCCAAAAAATAGAATCTCTCCGGAAATAATAAAAAAATTAAATCTGAATTTTGAAAAAGAAGAGAATATTCGAAATACCCCAATAAAAGTAATTTCAATTTAACTACATATAAAAATAATTAATTGTCTAAGAAAGTTTCTCGCGGCACAAACAAAAAATTTAAATAATTTTGAGAAGTCTTTAATTAGAAAGCTGTCATATTAGTGAAAATTAAATTGTAATGTTTCTTTGTTTGGTACCGAGGGAGAGAGTTGGAGAGAGAGAAAGTTGATTGTTTGTATCTACCTATCAGGTAGAGTTATTCCCGGGAGGGGGGATGACTCTCTCAAAATTAGTAGTTTACGGATAATTAGAAGAATTTTTAGGGGAGGCAGTGCCACGGGAAGGGGACGGGCAAATTTTCAAAAAAGCTCTCAGATTCCCCGTCCCTTTCGAGGACGGAGAACAACCCCTCTAGTATCAGGGGTGTGCCGAAACAGATGTTAAAAGTGAAACTGGCACACCCTGATATTTATAGATAAATAGCTAAACTTCTCTAATTTATCCCAACGTCAAAGAAATATTTTACAAAGAAAGAAAAGATTATTGTAGAAAAGAGAGATTACTCAAAGAATATTGTTGTTATTTAAGTAGCGGGTAATTAAAAAAAGATAAAAACAAAGAAGACTTTTATGTAAAAGAATGCAACAAATAAAAAAACACCTGCCTATTTTCTATAAAATAAATGAAAAAAGAAATAATTAGAGTTGTCTTAAATTAGTAGTTTTTGGATAATTAAAAGATAAAGAAGATATGGAAAGGAGAAAAAATATTTTTGTAGAAAAAAGAAAGAATATTTGGATCTAATTAAATCGGAGATATTAAATATTTGGGCATTAATTTTGGGGGAGATTTTTTAAATTTGGGATTGAGAGTGTGTTTTAGAGAGTTTTCCTTAAAAGAGTTAACTCGGGCAAATTAAATTTAATTTAAATTCTTTTTAGAAATTTCTAGCGTCTAAGGGGGTCTCAACAACCATTTTTCATAACAAAACATTTAATCTTTTTTTTAAACAGTTAATTAATTGTTCGAACAAGGTTAATTAATTAAAAAATAAAATAAAATTTCCTCTATGCCCTTCAAAACACTTCCTCCCTCCACCCCCTTCTCCACCACTCTTCCTCGCTTTTTTAAATAAATAAAAGAGGGGAATGGCATAATTTACAGCTGCATTTGTTATTATGTAAAATTGTGAAAATTGAAAAGAACGTGAATTTAGAGAAGAAAAAATTTTTAAATATGGCAAAAAATAATATTTAATTATTATTATTTTTTCCCTCTTAATTCAAAAAAATTTTCTTTTGTTATTTAAATTTAAAAAAGGAATAATTTTTTAATGAATAGAAAAAAGATTAATTTTTGGTTGTTATTATTTAAAAACTTGAGAGGAAAATGATTGAAAAAAAAATTTTTTAAATTATTTTTTGGAAGGCTTTCCAATAATTAAAAATATGTAAAAATAAAGAAGGAAAATTAAAAAAAATTTTTTTTAGAATTTTATTTTGTAAATTTTTAGTTCTCCTGTTTATTTTATCTTTAATTTAAAAAAACTAAAATTTACGATGTATTGTTTGTTTGTCTGGCCTTCGAGGGCAGCCACTTAATGAACGGTGATGGGTGTAGAGACCTGTTTGATGACCAGAACCGTCACATCCGGGGGTTGGGCAATAAAGTTTGGCATTTTCTGTGAGGAAAATTTTTTTTTAATTTCTTGAACTTTTTTTGAAATTTTTTGTAAAATTTTCAAAAAAATTTTTCTGATTTGAAAAACCTTTTCTTCTATTCATTTGCGGCACAGAATTATTCATTCCCTCAAAATTTAAGGCCATAGGGGAAAGAGAACCATCAGGCCTAGAAAGGGGCGAACAAGCTGCAGAAGAGGAATAATAAGGTTGTGGACTAGAAGAATCAACAAATAAATTTCCAACAACAAAATTTTGTTGTTTTTCTTCCTTTAAATTTTAAAAATTAAATTTTTTTTTAAAGTTTTGAAAATATTTTGGAATTTTAATTATTGTCTCTCCCTCTCTCCAAAATATTTTAGAGAGTTTAATTGAATTTCGAAATTAACTTCAGACTTTATCTTATCCCATTCTAGTCCTAAAAAGGAATAACCGAAGGAGTTAGATAAATGGAGTGATGGTCGGGAGCTAAAAAAGCCGAGAGTCAAGACCGAGACTAAAACACCAAGACCGAGAGCTCAAAAAACCCGAGAAATTTCCTTGAGAACCGAGACCGAGAGTCTCGACCATCACTAATAAGTGGGAAAGTAAAGGAAAGTGTTATAAAATAGAGGGAAGACTAAGTCAAGAACTCTAATTTCTATACTATCCCATCCTCAAAAATAATTCAAAGTAGGGATATCTGTGAGAGCTTTAGACATAAACGGGAGGAAGAGGAGTAAAATCTTATTTTTAACAAATTTAACAATTTTTAAACAAAACAATCCACACCTCAAAGGGGCAACCATTTAATTGTTTTCCTCCTTCCTTATCTCTTCCTTCCCCTATCTCCCCAACAATTTCCTCATTTTTATTTAAAAATTCTTTCTCTTCATTTTGTTGTTGTTGTTCCTCTTCTCCAATACTTCCACCTGTAGAAGACCCCCCTTCCTCTAAATTAATAAAAGCATCTCTTTCTTCTTCCCCTTCTTTCCAATTACTTTCAATATTTACTGGTTGGAAAAGTAAGGATTCAATACGCGTTAATGGAAGTAAAGATGGGGAAGATGGTGGATTTGTTGTTGGAGTAATTAAATTTATTGAGGAAGAAATATCGTTGTTGGTGGTGGTGGTGGTGGTTTCCTTTTTGTTGAAAATTAAATTAGAAAATTAAAAAAAAATTTCCCATTAAAATAATCAAGATAAAAGAGAACCCTCGTTTTTAGACCCTTTGTGGCCTAAGAAGCATATGTATACCCTATAATGAAGGGTATTTTAAATAGAAAGTATTACTCAAGTAACTCTACATCTACCCACCAAATCGCTAACCAAATTTTAAAAAAGTATTTACATATAAGGATTCAATACGCGTTATTAATCCATAAATAACTTACTGTATATTAATAGGGTTCAGCAGATGAATTAAAAAATAGAGCGGCAGCCGTTTAATTAGAGGAGATACGGCATTTAGTATTGGGCGTATTTAACAAAGAGGCCGTTTCGGCACGAGCTAGTTAACATTTAATTAAGCAGAATGAGATTTCAAATTTTTAAAATTTTTCTCAGATTTCCTTGATACTTTTATCTTACTTCGAAAAACCCCCGCGCCCAAACAATTATCGCGCCGAAATAATCTCTCTTCCTACAATATA